ATCCTACTCTTCATTTTTAATCATTTATTTATTTATAACAAATGGCAGGCATTTCGATGGTTTTATTAGCCCTTTAGGTGACTTCAGGCCTAACAGAAAAGAAGAAATATCAAATTTCGAGGGGGGGGGGAACAGAAGAGTGTTTTAAAGATGTAAAAGAGAGACACAAAGGTAGAAAAAGGTAGGAAGAGTACTGTGAAAGTAGTCGAATATGACATACAGTGGGGTGATGGTAGTTAGAAGCCAGAAGTCAACTGCCGGTTAATAGACTTTTTTGCTGTATGAGTATACGTTGCCCAGGGTGCACCACGTGGAGGCAAGTCTATCGTACACCCCTTTTCGCAAATAGGATTATGGCGATAAACTGAAAATTTAACAATGATAGAGAAGTCCCTAAATGAAGTCTTCGCGCTGGTCAAGTTGGTATAAAAGTTGGCCTCAGGAGATCAAGAACCTTTCTTTATTTGATGACCAAATGCATTGGTTTGTCCATTCTCTCCTGAGGTTCAGATTTAAATATTTCACTCCCACGTCGATTCATCGGTTTCCTCCTGTTGCCAGTACTGTATTTACTGGATGAAACCCATTTCAACAATACTGTGACCTCTTGAACTTTGTTTCCCTTCACTAATTAAAATGGTGCATTACGAAGATAATTTCATCAGAAACCAATTACTTTGTTTGATCCAAACACAATTATTGTGGTAACGTGAAGCTATCTCATAAATAAAAAAATAGCAAAGGGTGACGGAAAATGGATTTCCATCAAATGGTGCAATAATGAATAGTGGCGTCATAGACACTTTGGAGGTTAAAATATTTAAAAATGATCATTTTCATATCTCTGAAACTCAGGGCAAAACATTATATTTTAATTAAAATTTGATGCAATCCGAATTAAATGGAAAAATTGACAACTCAATGATTCCAGACAAACATTACTCTGAGTCGCAGAGTCTCTGGAATGTCTTCCACAGGTTATATCTAATTCGCTCTTCGACATTTTATATTGGCAGACAGGGGTGTGCGATAGACTTACCTCCACGTGGTGCCCCCTGGGCAACGTATACTCATACGGCAAAAAAGTCTATTAACCGGCAGTTGACTTCTGGCTTCTAACTACCATCACCCCACTGTATGTCATATTCGACTACTTTCACAGTACTCTTCCTACCTTTTTCTACCTTTGTGTCTCTCTTTTACATCTTTAAAACACTCTTCTGTTCCCCCCCCCCTCGAAATTTGATATTTCTTCTTTTCTGTTAGGCCTGAAGTCACCTAAAGGGCTAATAAAACCATCGAAATGCCTGCCATTTGTTATAAATAAATAAATGATTAAAAATGAAGAGTAGGATTAATGTTGCAGTTTGCAATAAATGCTACTTATATGATAAAAGTAGTGTTCTTATTATTTCTAGATTTGCAAAAAAATGGCTTGTAACCTTAAACCAGAAATTTCTAATTTTCAAATTAGAAATTATGGAATTATTTTGCATATATCTATATTTTGAACCAGTGCAACCAAATTACAGAAAGTAAAGAAATACAGGAAATTTAATCAGCCATTTTTTAAATAATTATAGTGAAATTAACACGGTGTTTGATATCCATTACTTGTACTTGTATAGAAGAATACTAAGATCGTCCCATTCTCCATAAAAATAGGAATTAGCTTCATAGGGGAAGGAACTATAAGAAGAAAAAATGTAATCATAATTGGTTTGAATTAATACGTTACTTAAAGAAGCTACGACTCACCTTCCAAAGCTTGGTCCAACATGGCAGTTCCAAGTCCCCGTGAATTCATCTTCGCATCGCTCTTTTATGCGTCTGCAAAGACATTGGGGCCAAGTTCGACAGTCTGGTTCGTTGTTTAATATCTGGATTATAATGTCCTTTGTGTCTTCGCGTCTACGTTCGACCATGTCGGAATCAATATTCGAGATGGCATATTTGGCAGACATGGTAACTGGCACACAGAAAAATTGCAGGTGTTTGGCTTTGTAGAATGAGAGAGTGGAGGGTAATGGTTGTGGTGCGTTAGTAAGCCCTCAAGGTGCCTATCTTACAACGCAATTACTCAATCACTTCGCATTTCTCCTAACCAATAAGACCTGATTAAGACGTAATCTGGCGCAGCGTTGTTAAGTTGAAATTTGATACTGTTTAATTAGTCGTCAATTAAATGCATTGAATGACTCAATGAGCACTTTTGACGGATTAGATCGCGAATCACCACCCTAACTCATTGTGAAGTGCCAACTGACTACCTGGTGAAAAACCAATATGAGCAATGCCATATGAAAATGGAGTTATATTAAATTTTTTATCAGTTTTGAAAAGATTTTATATTGTAAATAAAAAATTAAATAGCTGAAAGGAAACTTTTAATGAAAAACAGGCATGTCATTTTTTATTATGATTTATATTTACGCCTTATAAAAAACTAAGCTTAATCTTCTTTGGAATGAAATGGAAAAATAATACCTTGTGAGATAATGATTTATTAACAATCAATTGGATCGTTAAATGCATTAAATTCATAATCACCAGTGTATCGAAAGGTTTATTTATTTATATCAAATGGCAGGCTTTTTGATGGTTATCATTAGCCTTTTAGTTGACTTCAGGCTTCACAGAGGGGAAGCAACTTCAAAGTGAAAAAGATGTCGAGATTGAAGTGTTTCAACAATGTAAAAGAGACAGACACAAAGATATAGAAAAGTTAAGGTGAGTACTGTGGAAGTAGTCGAATATGGCATACAGCAGGGTGATGGTAGTTTAAAGTCAGAAGTCAACTGCCAGTTAATAGACTTTTTGCCGTATGAATATACATTGCCCAGGGTGCACCACGTGGAGATAAGTCTATCGTACACCCCGTGTATTTAAAGGTAAAATATTACTGATGATTCATAACTGAGCATAGCATGAAGAAAATCGTAAAATATGTTGTTTATGACCACATTATCTACTGACATCTTTCAAATTGCTTTAAATAAAATTTCGCTTTTCTTTCTAAGATCAATTATCTGACAAGTTTCTCCATCTCATTTGCATTCCGCTAATATCCTGGTGACCATCCCGAAAAAAATTGACATTATTTTCTGGAGGTCATGAACAGATGCTTGGATACTTCAGTATTGATTTTACATTTCACATACTTTCCGTGCTGGAATTTGTACGATCGTTTTAATCGACTAATGTTAGTTAAATTTCTATTTAAATTTTCTCACTTTCATCTTTCAAGTGGTTGGGTAAACTTCACTTTGTGTACACTTCCATGATCTAAACTTTTACACTCTGTCCTTAATCTTAGTGAAAATATGTTTGTACACTTCACAGTACTTCTCTCTGTAGCGTTGTTAGGCAACTTAATTGAAGAAACACTCAACACAATCATTTACTGTACAACAAGTGGGTGAAACTTTGGGTTGGAATGTGCATGGTGGAAGAATTGTAGGCTTATCAGTATCTGGGAGACAGGACTGGAATGTAAATAGTGGATGCAAGTACAGTATTGTTCGAGAAGACATGAACATGAGTATTGAAGGAGTGTATATTATCATTGGGTAAAGACGCAGTAAGGAGGGGGTTTAAGTGGGCAGAAATGTGTCTCTCCACGAGATTTACATCAGGAGATTTAGTTAGAGTGTACGTAAATAGGAGTTGGTAACAGTAAATAGTCAGCGTAATTGGTGGCGATCTGATTAGGAGTTTTTAAGCGGTCATATTTTCATCTTTCAGAATCTGCTCTAGGCTGAATTTCAACTTATCATTGACTGCAAAATTTTTGCAAGTTGGACGATTGGAAGCATAGTAGGCAGCAATATAGCCCGTGATGTTGTTGGAAAGCTGATCTCCACCGTCTCAGCAGAACTGATGCTGCATTCTGTCCTCTTTTGATAAAATTGAAGCGTTTGGAAAAAAACGTATTTTTAAAGAAAAGGTAATGTTGACGTCCATAGTAGAAGCCGATAGGCTTCAGCGTCTTCCCCTTACATGTGTCTCGAGTCACTTGGAAGGCAGTAGCATGGTATTACACAAATATATTCTGAATATTCCCTTGTAATGATTAAAATCAGGATTGTGTTTCTAGAGGTTCTTGGAAAGTTGTTGAATATCGTTTTTTGCATATGTCGTCTAGCTAATATGGAGTGATATTCATAGTTAGGCTCAAGAGGTTCTACCATATTCAAGGCTTTGTTTCTAATAGTCTAAATAGCATAGGGGAAAAAGATTTATTTGTTTTGAGGGTTTGTCTGATAGATCGAAGAAAGCATTATTTTGATAAATTAAGGAAAACACTGGATTCGCTTTGAGATAGAGGTGCCAAACTTGAGTCATCTTCAGCCTGGTTTAAATTTCTTGTCATCGTCTCCGTATGTCCAGTTATAGTAATTAAGGGAATCAGGGATTTATTACATGTTCGGATCCATTTCTGCAAGAATTTCATAAGGATCTGACTGTCTCAAGCTCAGCAGTTCACATAGCAAACAAACTCATCCGCACATATAGGAATAAAATTAATGCTTAATAAATATATGAATATTGCTGCAGAGACAACACATTTCATCCGGTTAAACCTTTTAACCTTTCCAATTATTTTGTTAAATTTGTCAACGATTAATTGGATTCAACTGACTGAATACGTAGAACGAATTAATGGCGTTAAGTTGCAGATTGTAACGATCATACAATTACATAATGTGGCCTCTAAAACTCGTTTTCCTATAATCAATTTAACCAATAAAAACAGCGTAATTTGTTCAACTTGCCAATAAGCATGAAACATCAATAACATAAATTGACCCTTGTGGGACACGTTATCGCTGTGCGCGTCATCGTATGCCTGCATGTCTGCTCGCCAGGATTGGGAGGTGCGGCCGTACAACTCTGTGTGCAGCGACCGTACAAACAGTGACCAATCATCAACCTCTGTTTAACCTAATCCCCCATCCTGATCATGAGTAGCTCTCTGCGTGTACACGCTTGATCCGCAATATACGTCTTGAATAAACGTGCTCCGTGCTACACGTCTGTTTCCTTTATAGCTGGGCTATAGCTTATCTGGTTCTGGGAGTCTAGCTAGATGTTGGAGAATCTGCCATAGAGATTTCTGAGTCGGTCGGGCTTTACTAAGGTAGCAATCCGCTACACCCTAAGCCTGGGAGTCGAATGTGGAAAGAGGGCTTTGGTGAATTCTACTCTTAAATGACAATTTTATTGTTGTCCCTTCACTCTGTAATGAACAGTTCTATTTTTCAAAGGTAGAATGATGTTCACTTGCGTAATAACAATATAAATATAACTAATGCTATTCTTGAATCAACAAACGCAAACAAATATAGAGCTTCTTAAAAATTTTTATAAATGTTTAAAGTCAAAATATTGAATAATTATATACGATTTAATATAAAAAAGGCAGAAAAATTACGGATTAGTGGAGATGTATTGCTTTCCGAAAACTGCAATGGTGATCAATATATTTGTTGCGAATTGCTACCTCAGTATAGCCTGACCGACTCAGAAATCTCTGTGGCAGATTCTCCTACATTTAGCTAGACTCCCAGAACCAGCTAAGCCATAGCCCAGCTGTGTAAGGAAACAGACATGTAGCACGGAGCACGCTTATTCAGTACGGGTATTGTGGATAAAGTGTACACGCAGGGAGCTACTCATGATCAGGATGGGGGATTAGGTTAAACAAACAGAGGTTAATGATTGGTCACTGTTTGTACGGTCGCTGCGCACAGAGTTGTACGGCCGCACCTCCCAATCTTGGTGAGCAGACATGCAGGCATACGATGACGCACAACGCGATAACGTGTCCCACATATTTAAGCTTATAAATAGTTACCAAAGTTGTAGTTATCCACATCATCGTCTTTTAGGTTTATTATTTCTTTTAAAAATAAAACAACTAATCAAAGTAATTTTTTTCTATTTTATTCAGAAATTTTTATTTATTGTCCACTTAATGTAAACAGAATGGCAACTAAGCGTGAAATTTGATTCTATTTGCAAAACACTAAGCGTAAATTCCATGGTTAAGTTTTAACTATTCTTATTTCAAGTAAATTTTGAGCACAACTTGTTTACAGATCAGAAGTTTTGTCTATTTTATCTGCTTATTTGAAGCGACCGTTCATTTTACTTTTAATAAGTTACAAGAAGGGTAGAAATAGCTTGATTTGAGAGACTTTCCCATGGATTTTAAAAATCATAACCGCTCTATTAAACTGGATTTTCTTATTGAAGTCTGTAATGATTTTCCATTGGCTGGCTCAACTTTGCCCTAACTTTTCATGATGAATTCTTTGAACAGGTAAATTAAAATTCATTTTATGAAACTGAAGTCAGAAACAAATTCGATCTTCTGCGATCTATTAAAACTAACTATCCGAATTATATGCATCAACTATGCCTAGTTGCTGCCAACAGATTATATTGAATTCTGTATTTTTTTCCAAAAAATAAAATAAAATGCACAAAGACGCTTATTTCTCATGCGCAGATAAATAGCATCAATAATGGAATCAGCAGTGCACTGGGATAAGCCTAGTAAAGCTTGTGGCATCTGTGGAGGCTTTATCGAATTCTAATTAATATTATTACAGATGCATACGTAGCCACAAGTGTGCATACTCGGAGCACGCAGTAATTCGATTGGTTCCCGAGTCGCACAAGAGTTGAAAGAAATTTGCTGTAAATTATTGCAATCATCTAAGTAAGGATCAGAAGAAAGTATTATTCTATTGTTGCTAAACGAGCCACATCAACAGGGAGGTTGTGGAATTCTTACAAATTTGCAATTTTTTGATTCTCCCGCTTATTGCCCAACTTAATTCAAAATGATGAACCAACGATCAGCTTACGTCAGTGATATGGAGCCGACTCCAAGGGTATTTATGGTTGAAAAGACAGATTTCCGAGGGAAACAGAGAAGTAGAGTAATGGATGATATCCGGAAATGTATTATTGATCATCAAAGTGAAGACGGGGACTCACAAAGGGATCTTGCCCATGACCTTAAAGAAATGATGGATGAACATTACGGACGATACTGGCACGTAATTGTAGGCACGGATTATTCCGCGTAAATTATTTGTTCATTGAACTTTTTAAATATTTACTCTCATTATTTGTACTAATAAAAATTTTATTTCTTCTAGATTCATGAGCTATTGTCCTGGATCCTACATCCAAGCAAGTTACGGAGACCTTGTTGTCCTACTCTTTCGTTTGGGCTAAGAATATTAGTATATTTTGATAGACTGATATCTGCAATTGATTATGAAAGAAATCTGTGTACCCTATTATCGTGTTTTTAATCTTTGCAAATTAAAGATTTCTTACAGATTGTATTTCTAATCTTACTCATAAGTAAAAATTATAAACGAGCACATTAATCTATCCAATAATTATTGACTCTGTTACGAGCAAGTTAAATTTCGTGCTTCAGTGAATGATGGGTCAATTCTCACAAAACTTATACAAAGTATGAGTAAATTAGCTAATAGTATGTAGCATTTTTACCAGCTTTAAACGACAATAAAACTGATCATTGACAATCCTGTTGCCTCATCAACTCTAAATGTTTCCCAATACTATGATGTCAAATGTCCCCTTGGAAATCACAAAATGAATCAGATTGTCCCTATTGTACAACGTCCTGTTGTTTTGACCTGGGAAAATAAATAAATCTATTTATTATATCTACCTTTTCGGCTGTTTTTTTTAACTGTCTGAACATAGATTTAATCGACCTCATTATTTTCTCTCCTTGTTAATATTTATTTTGATATTAAAAAGGCAGTCTTACTCTAACAGTCAAGATTTAAGAACGATAGATTTAATTATAATTCAGGCCTTTAATAAATCAGTCATTTAGGCACACTTAATGCAATTAAATTTTGAAATCAATTATTCCGGTGCGTTAAAAATTAACTGATTCAATGGAATCTTGGCAAGCTTATCAGACAATCTAATTAGTCCTAAATGAACATGTTCGTTATGCTTTCGAAGCCCATGTCAATTTCAAAAGTGGTGCGCACACATTCCAAGTGGCTAAGTTAAAACAAAATTCAAAAGAAGTCACAAAAAAGGCAAGGTTGTCAAAAGTTGGTAATTAATATTTTAAATATGTATATATTAGGTCCCAAGCGTAGTTCACAATTTGAGAGTTAACAGCGAGAATATAGTCTATCCATATTTGTAGATGAGAAAAGATAGGCCATTGCATTTAATGTGGGCAAAAGCGCATTTCTCGTGCATTATGTGGCTGAAAGTTTGAGAAAAGAGGCACATTATTAATATGCATAACTTAAATTGGTAATTAGGTGTATGCGGACGATTTTACCTAGCAAAGTTTGGTCCTACAACAACGTGCCATGTGGGTCCATAGGTTTCATCCATAGTCTGCTTTATAGCAGTACTCAAATCCACATAGTCATCATGAAGTCTACAAGCAGTCTGGACTACTTCTAAGAATCGTGCCTCATTCTTCTCGTGGAGGTCCTTACTGACGAACCTGGCTCGCATATCACATGGATCCTCATATCCCTTGTGCCGGTTGCTATGATGGTGATGGTGGCGGCTACTCATACTTGGAAATGATCTGCGGGTTTCAAAAGATGCCTGTAAGTATGTGTAGCTTTGGAGATGTGGGGTGTGGGTGAATGTGTTGTTATGATAAACGACTGACTCTTAAACACTTTGCTATCTCCATCAACTCAACTCCACCGTGAATGGCTCATTCACTGTTGTAATACGCGCGCTCTAATTATCTTACATTTAAGTCTCCCATTGGCTAATCATATCAAGCTGACCTGAGTGAAAATAATTCAAATTACTAAAAAGGCGGATTATGCGATTTCCTTTCTGACTAAGCTTAAATATTTCAAATTTATCAGATATCAAAATAAAGTATGCTTTCGTGCAAGTTGCGCATATCTCTTAGCTATAAATTATGACGTAGTTTATAACGCTGCACGGGTATCCACAACCATACTTTTCAATCAATTATTTATTAAAATTTAATAAATATTTTGTTGTCCTTTGTATTTCCCAGCAAATTTTAAGGTATCGTAATATAATTATAGACCACGTGGTCAAAATATAAAATGTTCCATTTATACAGCTCAAATCATTTATTTATTTCAAATGGCAGGCGTTATGATAGGTATC